TCCTGGAGATGGGAAGTACAGTGCCTGCACTCTGAAGGAGGGGTGTTAATGTTGCAGTTTAAAAACTGTAGTGTAAAGCACCCTTCTGGCAAGACAGTGATGGAGTGAATGATGGTGAAAGTTTTTCTTTTTCGGGCCACCCTGCCTTGGTGGGAATCGGCCAGTGTGATAATAAAAAAAAAAAAATAACTTTTGGATGTCTTGCACGGATTAATTTGATATCCATTATTTCTCATGGGGAAAATTGATTCGCTTTCCGATAATTTTGCTTTACGATGAGCTCTCAGGAACGGATTAATAACGTGAACCGCGGGTCCACTGTATGTCATATTAGATGAAGTGAGATAGATAAATAAGCCATAGAGTTGATATTAGTGAAATTATTGAAGTACAGAATTCCACTGGAATGGATTAATTGCATTTCAATTACTTTAAATGAGGAAAATTGGCTCTGCAAATGAGCAAATCCAGTTGCAAGCAAGGTCATGGAACAGATTAAACTCGCAAGTATAGGAGCCACTGTACTAACAGTATAAAAATTAAAAATATATTGGACAGTTCAGCTTTTATGGGTTCCTCATCTAAACTAGTATTTCGTAGGATTACCCTTCCTCTTGATTCTCTTCTTAACCCGTAAATGGTCCAAGCAGATCTGTGTTCACATGTGTAGTGCTCCAAAAGTAGATCTACCTTTTTTTGGAAGTTAGGAGGAGGTGCGGGATTACCAAAACTGTTGTCCAGAGGGCTGAGGAAGGGTTGTTGAGGTGGTTCGGACATGTAGAGAGAATGGAGCGAAACAGAATGACTTCGAGTGTATCAGTCTGTAGTGGAAGGAAGGCGGGGTAGGGGTCGGCTTAGGAAAGGTTGGAGGGAGGGGGTAAAGGAGGTTTTGTGTGCGAGGGGCTTGGACTTCCAGCAGGCATGCGTGAGCGTGTTTGATGGGAGTGAATGGAGACAAATGGTTTTTAATACTTGACGTGCTGTTGGAGTGTGAGCTAAGTAACATTTATGAAGGGATTCAGGGAAACCGGCAGGCCGGACTTGAGTCCTGGAGATGGGAAGTACAGTGCCTGCACTCTGAAGGAGGGGTGTTAATGTTGCAGTTTAAAATCTGTAGTGTAAAGCACCCTTCTGGCAAGACAGTGATGGAGTGAATGATGGTGAAAGTTTTTCTTTTTCGGGCCACCCTGCCTTGGTGGGAATCGGCCAGTGTGATAATAATAAAAAATTAATAATAATTTTTAAATATAACAAAAAAAAAAGTAAATCAAAGTTTTTTACACGTTTTGAAATGTAAAAAAAAAAAAACTACTTTTTTTTACATATCAAATATTGAGAAAACGTATATATACGTTTGGACCGTTTACGGGTTAAATCCCCTAGACGCTGATAAGGTTAAATCATGAACAACAGAAGATTCAGTACCTCTCTCACACTTGCTGAATGGTACTTGAGAGTTTGGGGATAGTGGTCACACCTGTGCCATGAAAATGACACTTAACCCTTAAACAGTCCAAACGTATATGTACGTTCACTCGCGTAGCACCCCAAATTTTTTGAGAGAAACAAAATTGTCTTTTTTTAATAGGAAGAAAGAGCATATGGTACCCAGGCATCCCCAATCATTTTAATATGGCGCACAGTGAGTGTGCACACCCATTCTCTCATGTCTAGGTGACTCAGGCTTATCGTGGCAATGTTGAATGAATGACAAAGAAAATGGATATATACGTTTGGGGCGCTGCGCATGTGAACGTATATATAGGTTTGGACCGTTTAAGGGTTAATAAGGTTCCAGTTGTTCTCTTTTGGAAGTGAGTTACCAGGCTAACTCTCCTAAACTATGGTAGCTAAAACATCACCAGACCATGAGGCAGGTAGGGTGCTCAAGAACTTCAGTTGCATATTTAGAAAGAAGACAATTTATTCTAGTTTCCTCTATACACACCAATAATTTCTACCACTCTTTTACACAAAGAGTGACTTTCTGTCTCCAAACCACTGTCTTCCACTTCTTCTTATCCCATTTAGAGTACAGTGGACCCCCGGCATACAATGGCATCGGCATACGTTAAATCCGGCATACAATACATTTTAATGCAAAAATTTTGCCTCGCCTCACACAATTCGTCTGAGACGTGTCCCACGTGTGGCCTCAGCGCCAGTGTTCACAAGCCAGCCAGTGCGGTCGCATCTACGCATACATTCGGTACATTTCACATTATCCCAGTGTTTTTAGTGTTTGTAACTACAAAATAAGTCACCATGGACCCCAAGAAAGCTTCTAGTGCCATCCCTGTGGTAAAAAGGGTGAAAATTAGTATGGAATTGAAAAAAGAGATTAAGAAAATGTGTGCAAAGCGGCTTGGGGTGCAAACCTTTATGGATGAAAATCACCCTCACACAGCTATTGCAAGCCGTGCTGGTGACTATTGCAACGACAATGTTGTGAACCACTTCAGACAAATCATAAAGGAATGTGAGATACAGGCCTCTATGGACAGATATGTTGTGCGACAGAAGTCCACTGACTCTCAAGCTGGTCTTAGTGGCATTAAAAGAAGGGAAGTAACCCTGGAAAAGGACTTGATACCTAAAGTCCTAATGGAAGGGGATTCCCCTTCTAAACAATAAGTTTGATACTCTCCCCTCCTCCCATCCCATCAATCATCACCAGATCTTCATTAAAGGTAAGTGTCATGTATTCTATTGTTAGTAGAGTACTACAGGTCTCCCTCAACATTCGCGAGGGTTAGGGGATCAAGAGCCTCGCGAATGTTGAAAAACCGTGAATGTTTGGTGCCCCAATATATTGTAGGGAAATATAATAAAATACTGCTTCCTTAACTTGTTGAACCATGAACAGTCATAAAATACATGAAAACGTCGTAAATTGTACTAAATATATACATGTTATGCTTTAATAGCATGTATGTTATTAAATACCACTGCCTCCACCAATGCCTCCACCACTTCCTCAACCACTGCGAGTCCCTACTACCCTCCCTCCGACCCCCGCAACTGGCAGCCAGCCCTCCAACCACTCAGTGTGGTGAGTGTTTTGTTTATTCATTATTTGCTATTAAACTACAGTATAAATAATGTAAACCCATTCAAAACTGCATATTGGAATGGCTATTCGGACAGGTATTGGACGGTGACATCATGTGTTTACTCTTGAACACAGCAGAGAATCAAAAATTTCTGCTACTGCTAATAATAACAATAGTAATAATAATAATAATAATAATAATAATAATAATAATAATAATAATAATAATAATAATAATAATAATAATAATAATAATACGATATAATTGAAGAAGGAAATTGTACAAAAATACGAGGGAGTGGTTGACACATCGTCAGTATGGCTTTGTTTATGCTGGAGTGAACATTAGTCTCCTTGCTCTTCCAAACATTTCACAGTAATTCAGCAGTTGAGGCAGTAGTATTTAATAACATATATGTTATAAATAATAATAGTAGTACATATTATTAATAACATGTATTATTATTATTAATAACATGTATGTTTTAAATACCACTGCCTCAATCACTGCCTCAACCACTGCCTCAATCGCTGCCTCAATCGCTGCCTCAACCACTGCCTCAATCGCTGCCTCAACAGCTGCCTCAACCGATGCCTCAACCACTGCCTCAATCACTGCCTCAATCGCTGCCTCAACAGCTGCCTCAACCGCTGCCTCAATCGCTGCCTCAACAGCTGCTTCAACAGCTGCCTCAACAGCTGCCTCAACAGCTGCCTCAACAGCTGCCTCAACAGCTGCCTCACCCACTGCCTCAATCGCTGCCTCAGTCGCTGCCTCAGTCGCTGCCTCAGTCGCTGCCTCAGTCACTGCCTCAACCACTGCCTCTACCACTTCAGTTGCACTCAATCTACAAGCACCAAACATAATGAATTATTGTGAAATGTTTGGAAGAGCAAGGAGACTAATGTTCACTCCAGCATAAACAAAGCCATACTGACGATGTGTCAACCACTCCCTCGTATTTTTGTACAACTTCCTTCTTCAATTATATAATATTTATTATTATTATTATTACTATTATTATTATTATTATTACTATTGTTATTATTAGCAGTAGCAGAAATGTTTGATTCTTTGCAGTGTTCAAGAGTAAACACACGATGTCACCATCCAATACCTGTCCGAATAGCCATTCCAATATGCAGTCATGAATGGGTTTACATTATTTATTCTGTAGTTTAATAGCAAATAATGAACAAACAAAACACTCACCACACTGAGGTGGGAGGGCTGGCTGCCAGTTGCGGGGGTCGGAGGGAGGGTAGTAGGGACTCGCAGGTGGCAGGAAACTTGAATATGATTTGGCGGCTGGGAATTTGGTGGCTGGGAATTTGGCGGTTGGGAATTTGCGAATGTGTGAAGCCCGCGAGAGCTGAAAACGTGAATGTTGAGGGAGACCTGTACTTACAGTGCATGTCTTCTTCAGTTTGTGTGCATTAAACTTAATATTTCATGCGGTAAAGCTTTTTTTTTTTTTTTGTACTTTTGGGTGTCTTGCACAGATTAATTTAATTTCCATTATTTCTTATGGGAAAAATTAATTTGCCTTACGATAATTTCGGCATACGATGAGCTCTCAGGAACGGATTAATATCGTATGCTGGGGGTCCACTGTATTTCTTACAGAAAAAAAAAAACCACTTTGCTCTTCCCTTAGCAGTGAGAAGTGGCTTGTTCTTAGCCCTGAAACTGTTACCCCAATTTATTATGCAAATGGCATTGTACTGTCCTATCACAACACTTTTCAAGTAATTGGTGATTTAATTCTTTCAACTTATGTGCAGTTAAAGTTCTCCACTTGTCTTTTCACCACTTTGAATATCCTAGGACTAACAGACTTCAGCCTCCCTGATCTTTGCTTATTTGCTGAATGGCTAAGATCCCCATCCCACTACCATCATGGATAGTTTATATTACATTATTAATGCTGTACTTATATTTCACTAGCAGGCATCTGGAAGTGTCCACGCACAACAGTGACTAGAACTATGGCAACCCTTCATTATTTGAATCAGCAAGAAGCTATTAATGTGGACCAAGAGCTGTTTAATGAGTATCAGTTCAGTGTTGACCAGCTGATGGAGTTGGCAGGTCTCAGCTGTGCCCATGCTATTGCTCAGGTATGTACTGCTGCTGCTGCTGCCGCTGCCGCTGCCGGAGCCGCTGCCGCTGCGCTGCCGCTGCCGCGCGCCGCCGCGCCGCCGCCGCCGCGCCGCCGCCGCCGCCGCCGCCGCGCCGCCGCCGCCGCCGCCGCCGCCGCCGCCGCCGCCGCCGCCGCCGCCGCCGCCCGCCGCCGCCCGCGCCGCCGCCGCCGCCGCCGCTGCCGCTGCCGCCGCCGCCGCCGCTGCCGCCGCCGCCGCTGAGGAGGAGGAGGAGGAGGAGGAGGAGGTTGGAATACATTTAATAACATTAACCAACTTGACTTACAGAAAGTTCATTGAACATCGACAAAAAATGAACATTTCCACTACTTTGAGCTCAGTTTCAAGGTACTTTTCGTCATGAAAGCAATCAAAATCATGTATATTTCTGTAATATATCTTCCATTCTATCAAATGAGTTCCTAAAAATGAGAATACAACCATAAAAAACATACGAAAATATACTGCAAAGAGGTGGCTAATGGCTGAGAAGTGAACTCCCTTATTTATCGTTCGTCTTTTTTTATTTTTGTTGTATGTTAAGAAGCAAATTTCCATCATACATTGCCCAAGTTTCAATGAGATAACCCAACAAACAACCGAGAAAAAAAATATTTACCAAAAATCATATATGGCAAGCCCAAGCCAGGTACTGGAAATAAGTCACTTTGTCTGACTTTTCTCGGTTATCCTAGGTTCTCTATACATACATTGCTATGTATGATAATCTATGTAACTGTATTTGTGTATACCTGAATAAACTTATTTACTTCTAGTCTGTCAACTGAGTACAAGAAACCCCCCATTCACTTATTTCAACTACCCAATAAAGTGGTCAGAAATTGGGAATTTGGCCGATTTCACACAAATTTCAACAGATGCCAATTTCAAAATAGGGTCCAGAATAAACAATGCAGACATTCCTGGCACTAAAATAACATTTTCTCTGTTCATTAGTCATGGCTCCAGGCCCCTCATATTATTCTTGCTTACCATTTGGAATTTTTATTCACATGAAAATAGAAGATTTACTGTTATGCAGACTGCTGCATTATTGTAATAATTGTATAAATAATGTCAACCCATTCTTGACTATGTATTGGAATTTGGACTGGCAGGCAGACAGGTATTAGAGGGTGACGTCATTTGTTTACTCTTAAGCTTCACTAAAGAATAGAACATTTTCACTACTGTGAGCGCAATTTCAAGGTACTTTTCGTCATGAAAGCAATCAAAATCATATCTATTTCTGTAATATATTTCATTCTATCAAATGAGACTGAAAAAATGAGAATATAACCATAAAAAACATGCAAAAATATACCGCTAAGCGGCCACTAATGGCTGAGAAGTGAACTCCGCTATTTATGGTCTGATTTTTTTCATTTTTGGTGTATGTTAAGAAGTATCTTTCCATCTTACATTGCCCAAGTACCAGCAGGTTTTTGTGGTGACCCTGGAAATTTGAAACTATGCTAGCCAAAATTAGTGCCAAATAACTGATTGCCGGGTTTGTGATGGCGGACCGCTGCCGCCACTGCTGCTGCCGCTGCTGCTGCTGCTGCTAATGCTGCTGCTGCTACTGCTGCTGCTGCTGCTAATGCTGCTGCTGCTAATGCTGCTGCTGCTGCTGCTAATGCTGCTGCTGTTGCTAATGCTGCTGCTAATGCTAATGCTGCTGCTAATGCTAATGCTGCTAATGCTGCTGCTAATGCTACTACTACTAATACCACTACTACTAATACCACTACTACTAATTCTACTTTATTTTGACATGATACATGCTTGTACAAAGGAATATGTATATGGTTGGGTGTACATGCTGTTACAAAAAACGCGATTCTAAAAGCTTAGAGATCTCCAGTGAATACTAGAAAGGACTGCCCTTCTAGCATCCAGCCTGTTACTGGGTTTTCGTAACAAGTAGTCAGTATCCTTGTCCAATTATCCATTAAAATTCATTAAGATTCATTAGTGCTTCAGGATTACAACTGGTAGGCTACTAACTAGAGAAATTAAAATTTAATAAATTTATTAATCATTAAGTTGTCTAGAGGTATATTATCAAATTAAATTAAATTAAATTAATCACAGTAATAAAAATAAAATCAATCTCTCGAGTTCAATATTATTGTGCTGAAAGCACATATCACATTTATAATTCTTAAGTACCTTCTGGTACATTAACATTTAATAAGATATTACAAATATGTACAAGTAAGTTTGTGTATGCGTGTAAGTGCTCTAAGTAGTTCACTATGTCTCACGACTCGACTAGACTTAAACAAGTGACTGACAAAGTCCTCACATAAACTAACTTCTTGACCGACTGGCAACCAGAACAGTCTGCTTGAACAATGAAAAGAATGCTAAGCCCAATAGCCATATAACAAGCGACTGCGACACAATCAGGATCAAGGAGATAATATAACGACACTAAGGAGGGACCATCAGCAGATCCTCCACAAAAGTTACAAAACTCCCATACTACTGAATCTAAGTTCAGCATAGGAAAAACCCTGACTGTGACAATACACAGAAACCAGTACAAAATTAGGTCAGAAGCTATAGCTAAGGACCTGAGATGCTCAGAGTGTCTATGTGACACACAACCTCAGTACAACGTCGAAAATCACTAAGTCTATACAATGTTCTGTGAACAGAGTTCTACAGAACTAACAAGAATAATGAGACAGACAATCTGTCAACCACCAAGCGAGTCTAGAGCAGACTGAATACTTCACGAGAGGTGAGGACACCCCCCCCTCGATCACGTGATAGCCCCGTGGACAGCACAGCTCAGAAGCCGGCAGTATAACAAGCGACAAGCGATAATTACAGTAGTTTGACAATCAAGACTTGAACTGAGCACATATGTACGTACATCCTAACAACGTAAGTCAAATAAGAATATAAAGCAATATATTTACAATTTAGCTATTATCGCAAATATAAGCAATATAAAATTATATGAAAAGATAATATACATTATATATATACATAATAATCATTGTAACCCATTCAGGGGTTGCAACACATGCCAAAAGCCATTTATATGCAGAGCATTTTGGGCAAACTTAAAACTAACTTATGATTACTGTGGCAATAACAGTACATGTAGTCAGTAGACGAGTTGCAATGAATACAAGAGAATTGAGTATTCTGTTAGGTCATGCATGGCTTTAACCCGTAAACGGTCCAAACGTATATATACGTTCACTACCCCAGTGCCCCGAATATTTTGAAAAATAAAAAAATCGTTTTTTTTATTGAAAAAAAGAGCACATTTTTCTAAGTGTTATAGAATAAAAAAAATTAGAGTCAGTACTTACCGAGATATGAGGCTGCAGAGTTGGCACTTGAGGATCACCTGACGGCAACATGGAGCGCTGCCGCTTGCAAAAGTGTTGCCAATATACCTTTTTTCTATTTTTCATATTTTATATAATTTTCATGTTCTGATAGTAATTACAATTTGTAGTAGTTCTTTTCATTTCATAACCAATCTTTGTTCTGACACTAGTATTAGGTACTGAAATTGTACTCAAATTGTCACAAACACATTGACAGTTGGACATGTACACCTGCCTTGGTCATTTACTATTGTCTTGGAATATATACAAAGTATTTATATGTCCCAGCAATGTTTGGGAAGAGGAGGAGGAGGAGGAGGAGATGATGATGGAGATGGAGGAGGAGATGATGGAGATGGAGGAGATGATGATGGAGATCGAGGAGGAGATGATGATGGAGATGGAGGAGGAGGAGATGGAGATGGAGGAGGAGGAGATGATGGAGATGGAGGAGATGGGGATGGAGGAGATGGAGATGGAGGAGGAGGAAGAGATGGAGGAGGAGGAGATGGAGATGAAATAATAATAAAATAATAATTTCCCTTGAAGCATGAAAAACAAAGTCCACCCCTGACAGTGACATGATAAGATGAGATAACATCTGATAAGAGCTGACATTTGATGAGTATACAAGAGGGTGGGGGAGGGTGCAGCTGATAAGAAAAGATTAGAGTTGACATTTGATCAGCATCGCCCTCCTTTGTTTTCACTGGTACACAAACGTGTCTGTCTATTTGTCTGTCTGTCAAGCTCTCTGTCTCTCCGTCTAGCTCTCTGTCTCAGTGAGAGCCACAAGACTGCGTCATCACCTTTACTCACATCTTCAAGCAGAGTATAGCACTTTGTCTGGATTTTTGGGTTATCCTAGGTAATTTATACTACGTATATTTGTATTTATGTGTACCTGTGAGACAGAGATAGACAGACAGATAGAGAGAGACAGAGACAGATAGACAGAGATACAGGGATAGACAGAAACAGATAGAGACAGAGATAGACATAGATACAGACAAACGGAGATAGAGCCAGGCTGCCAGCAGCTGGCCAGCCACACAGCTGGCCACCATGCAGCTGGCCAGCCAGCTAGCCAGCCAATCAGTCAGCCAATCATCTAGCCAGGCAGCCAGCCAGCCAGCCTGCCAACCAGCCAGCCAGCCTGCCAACCAGCCAGCCAGCCAGAGTTGTTTCTCTTGACTTAGGGCGTAGATTATAAGACATTCTGAAAGGGTGTTGCACAAATATTGCACATGGGTTATTATCAAGGTTTTTTTATATTTACTCAACCACTTGTGGCCACATCCACCTCAAAGCTACTAAACTCAGGGTCAAAATCACTTTCCTCTTAAAATGGGAGTGTTAATACTACATGACATCAGTGAATCCCAGGTGTTTGCTGTGCTGTTTGCTCTAGCTAGCGCTCATTTGAACTGGTGCTCCCACAAGGTACTAAGTGGTCCCAGATTTTTTTAGTGCCACGCACACTGAGTGTTAGGACCCATTCTATGCTGACAAGGCATCTCGGGCCAATCGTGCCAAATTTGAAGGCAGGAAAAATGAAACACATATATACATTTGGGGCACTAGCGGTAAAAACGTATATATACATTTGGACCGTTTACGGGTTAA